CCTTGGAGCCTCAGCACAAGTGATGCCCCAGGAGGAGGGAGGTGACAGGTGACATTCTTACTGAAGCCCTGGCTTTGTGCCTCCTGGAGCCCAGGCCGTTGCTTTCCTCAGATGCGTCAGCCCCCTGGGGACGGCCTGGCTGAAGCTGCCATCGGAGGGGCCCCTCGGTGGTCATAAATGTGTGGCCGGGGCCTTGACCACCACCTGCGGGACAGGAGACCCCCCTACAGGGCACTGCTGAGAACTTCTTCCCTGGTCTGGCTCCCCACCGCCTTCCTAACTTCCTGTGCCTTCACCTGTCCCCTGGGGAGGCCCCAGCACCCACGGACCATGACAGGCAAGTGGACAAACTCTGGGTCTGTGGGTGGAAACAGTGCTGACGCCCCATTAAGGAGCAACGAAACAGCCAAGGGGACCACAGCCTTACTCAGAGAACAAAGCCAGCCACAGAAGCGTACCTGCTGTGGGGACCTGCTGTGGGGTCCAGGGGCTGGGTGGGGCTGGGGCCTCGGCTAAGGGGAGCCTGGCTTCCTTTGGATGTGATGAAGGTGCTCTAAGATTCACAGTGCTGATGGGAGCACAGAGCCGTGAATATGGTCAAAACCACTGAAATGCACACTTCGAATAGGTGAGTTGTGTGTTATGCAAATGTGGCTCAATAAAACTATTTAAAACAAAATGACAGAGGAGCAAGAGAAACCAGCCTTCCACTCCACACAGGCCGGATGGGGGACCCCCCGCATGCTCTCGCATCCTGAGGGCGCTTCCCTGTCCCCCCACCTCTGGTCTCTGTTTCTGGACCGACAGGACTGCAGGTCCCACAGGGGCTGTCATGTGATCCCAAGCGTGGGCCCGTCCAATATGCAGCCACCGGCCACTTGGGCACATGGAGCATGGCCGTGGCGAGTGAGGCGATGCTGGGGGGCGCACAGCACCCCGACTCCACACACCCGGTGCCACAAGAAAAACATAAAAATGCAGGATCTCATTCTGTTTCATGCTGAACATGCACCAAAATGTGCATCATTTCCGATAAGAAGGGTAAATTATTAGTTACATTATTTCCACGGGTTTCTTTTTACTGTTTTTCTATGTGGCTACTGGAAAATGCAAAATCACACCTGTGGCTCGCGCCGGGTGGGGGTCCGGCCCCCCGGCGCTCGGGCATCATCCCAGCTCCCAGCCTCACCATCATAGGCAAGGCTGCTGGTCACACCTCCTGGGGGTGCTGAGGACTCTCATTCCAGGCTCCTCACTGAGTGAGTGGCCCAGCAGACGAAGGAAGGAAGGAAGGAAGGAAGGAAGGAAGGGAGGGAGGGAGGGAAGGTGAGCCAGGCAGCAGGATGGCTTCCCCTGTGCACATGCCCAGGAACGTGGACAGGGCATGAACCCGGTCCTCCCATTCAACCAGGCTGAGAGCCCCATGGGTCCTGGGGTGGGGAGGACGGGGGTGCCAGCCTGCTCCCCAGCCAGAGTCGAGTCCCCATGACCTCTGTCTTCCAGGGACAAGCCACGGCCCCACAGAGTGAGCGGCTTCCCTGTGGCCACGGGGGCCCTGGGCTACCCAGGGGCTGCAGGAGGCTTCCCTCCTCCGGGGCTCAGTGAGGACAGCCCCGCCGGGCTCAGGTCTGTCCTCCCCGCTCCATCCCCAACAGGACAGCCCGGGCCAGCAGGGCAAAGGGCCCCCCCCACTCAGGAGAAATGAGAGGAAGGCCCACGACAACAACGTTGTTCAGATTTTAACTTGTCCACATTCTTTACCGATCTGAGGCGGGTGCCAGGAAATTAGTCACTGAACCAAAAGAGCCCGGCTGATAGCATCTCTGTGCCCGCAGTCACAGGGCAGGAGGGAGCGGGAGGCTTCCAGCAGGCAGGTCCCTGGGGAGATGTGAAGGAAGTGCTCGGCACACACAAACACCCGATCAGGCTGCCCACAGAGCAAGCCAGCGCCCCTGCAGGGTGCACACCCTCCCTCTGGCCTCTGGCCCGGGGCACTTTGCGGTCCAGGAGTCTGGGGACCTCCCCCCCCCCCGCAGAGGAGTGAAGGACAGGGCCCCGTGTCGGGCCCCTGTGCTGGGACAGCCGTCCCTGTGAGTCCTTCTCAGGGTCCTGCACCCCCAGGGGCTCCTGGTCCATGCTGTGTGGCAACTTCTGTGTGTGGCTCCCCAAAGGCCCCTCCTTCCCTCCCTTAGCATTCCTTCCAAGTCAGGATGGGGAGCGCTGCGGGGGGCCAGCCCCTGCCCCCATTTTGATCTCGCTGCCCAAACTGGCCCAACACAGCCACACAGAAGCCTGGGGTAGAGCTCCTCCAGACCAGAGGCCCCTGGAAGCTGGGGTGAGACCCACTTGGCAGCAGGAGGAACCCGGGCAAAACCAAGACTCTTGTTTTGCTTTCAATCAGAACTCCCAAGAGAGTGGGCTAATTAGGACATGCCCGGCCCCAGGCGGCCCACATGTGCCTACATGTGCGTGCAGAGCTCCTGGGCCCAACCCAAAGAGGGCTGCGAGCAAGCGGGCGGGAGTGAAGGAGCCGGCGGGTGGCCTCCCCTCCAGGTCCGGGGCAGAGGATGAGTCCGGCCTGCCGGGAGGCCGGAGGCCATTCCTGGCTCTGGGTCGGTGGCCCATGGCCTGGGAGCTCCCTCCACCAAGATGAGACAGGCTCCCCAAGGCACTCTCTGTCCATTTGTTCCACAAACATGTTTTCTGCTGCTCTCTGCCAACTTGGAAGGGACACTGGATGGGGGCAGAGAGGGTCAACCTGCCCTCAGGATGTAGGCAGGGTGTCCAGCCTCCACAGGGAGCTGGGCTTGCTCCCAGGGTCAGCACCTCTCAGACCAGGATCCCAGGGGGGCCCATTTCTGCTCAGGCAAGGGCACGCGTAGGTCTGGGGGCCACAATCACACATGTGCTCGCACGACAGGGCTCAAAACACACGCTGGGATGGGGCAAGGGGCTTAGACCTCAGGCTGCAGAGGGAGAAGGCCACCTGATGGGATGAGGGTGAGCGGAGGCCCCGCCCCTGGGTGGATGACCTGGACTGTGTCTGAGCACCTGACCTCCTCCCCGAAAGGAGCTGGACTGTCAGGGCTCGGAGTCCCAGGGAAGGAGGGTGCTGCCCGAGGACCAGTAGGGAAAGGACGAAGGGAACCACCCTGGGGTAGAGCGGTCCCAGCTTCCAGCCCACCCCACCTTGTCACCATCTCTCCAGCCTGGGGCCCTCCCCTCCTCTGCAGATCAACTGGGGGGCCTTCCCAGCCCAGGCAGCCGCAGAGACTAGCATCCGGCTGGGGACAGTGAGCTGGGGAGAGCTGCCTGCGTTCATGCCTGGGGGACACTCTGGCCCATCT